TTACAGAGTGGTATGGCAAGAATACATATCAAGTGAGACATTTCAGATCAAATGGTCCATGCTCAGATATGAGAGACCACACACTTGTGATCTTCAATATTCTTACCTGGACACATATGAAAAGTCCGAAGAGCTTCCACAGCCCTAGTAAATAACTTAAAACTAATTAAGCAATTGGTTCACAATAATTAAAAAGCTAAGCCTCTCTCATTAGAACCTTCCAAGATATTTAGGGAAGTAAACACAAACCACAGCCACATTCTTCTGACATGTAATGATGCAGACACATGCACTGTAAATTCTAAACAGGGTTCATGATGACCCATATAAAGCAGTGTCCTTTGCAATTGCAGTTGCATAGGGAATCATCTTTGATTAAACTCCAGGCTTGCAAGGATTTCTATGTGACAGAATGACTTAATATTATTCTTCCCATCCCAGAACACAAAGAGTTTGGTCCCTTACAGGTACATAGATCCAGAGCTCATGTTTACATTGCCCAGTAGGCTCTGTGAATGGGCACTATGCTGTAAGAAATGCCATCTACCACCCTTCGGCACCAGAAGCTGTCAACTGTCAGTAGTGATAGATCATGTTCCAACATACCAGGTTGTGTGAATGATTAATGAAAGAGGTGGTCATGTGGCTACCTGAAGTAGACACCAGAAAGGAGATCTAACTCACTGCTGCAAAACACAGCTTTAAGAAATCTGGAACATTATAAAGAGAGGCATAACAGAAAGGAGAATTCTGTTCCCTGACTCTTCAAAGGCAGCAGAAAACAAAACAATTAGGCATACAAATGCAACCAAATCTCTGCACCCACATGAAAACGAATGTTTCATTCACAGATCCTCTTGTCACAGTCTCATATGTCTAAAGCACACTGATAGGACTTACTGATGGTCACATTTCTTTTTCTGAGTCACAAGAACATACAAAGTGAGTCTTGAACAGAAGAAGGAACTTGTATTAGATTCCGTTATTGCAGTAGCTGCATTGTTCTTACTGAAGATGTGTCATAAGACAGGAAATGTAATCAAGAAAATAAGAGGCTAATTTTTATCATGTCTTCATCTTTAGGCTCAGGCTGTCAAGCCAGACACCAAGATTCAAAATAAAATCCCATAGTAACTTTAGAGGTATTTCATTTCCTTTCCTTGCAAAGTGGGAGATCATGGATATAGAACACTACAGAAAATTTCAGGCTTTTTTAGTGCATTGGTTAATTTTACTGAACTTTTCTTCTCTTTTGTATTCTTTGACGTGAGGAATATCTCTGTGGGAGAGATACACTGAAAAAGGTATTGGTGTAAAAAACTAAAAGATAGCAATAAAATGAATTTTCAAAAAGATAGCAAGTTCATCCTGAAATTGTTCATCCTAGCAAATACATTACTAGCAACAATGTACCAGTGAGCTGCCCAAAAGGAATTCCTCCACTCAACTACCAAATACAGAATCTTAGAGCTGAAAGAAAACTTAGAATGCATGTAATCCAATCTCCTCATTTTATAGAGGATGAAAATGATTCCCAGGAAGCGAATGACACTTGCCCAAAGTCACACAGCTAGTCAATAACAGAGTGAAGTTCGCCTAACTCCAAGTCCAAGAGTTTACTCTCTTCACTTGGCAGTGTGCCAAGAATGGACCAAAAGCTGCAGGGTCCTACCATCTCTTCTCTGAGAAGCCAAAAGTAATGTTGCTTTCAGAGACGGGTAACTTACTGAAAGAAAACACTAAAGAAAATTTCAGAGGAGTAGCTTCAGAAGTCCTACATGCTCTATACCTGACCCGATTGCTCTTACCTTAACAGGTCTTTCTTTACTAGATAAGCACTCCTCTTCTCTCTCTAGTTCAAGAACTTCAGACGGACTTAGTTGTGTCTCTGCAACACAAGAAAAAATTCTTTCACATTATTTCTAATCTCCAAATAAATTTTATTAGATAATAATTCAGTTTTCATTTTGCTGTACTGTCACAGTGCATACAGATCATTCATATATTCTCTAAGGGTTATTAATAGTACTATAGCTACATGAATATCTATCTATACAAACACACATTTATTCAGGCAGTAGAAGCTACTCATATTACTACTGAAGGGTATAGCAGGGAGCTACTAAAAGAATGAGGTGGTGAAATATCTCACTGGAAAAACAACTGACCTGGAAAATAGATCCAGGAGAGAGAACTTAAAAATTATTGGACTATCTGAAAGCCATGATCAAAAAAAGAGCCTAGACATCATCTTTCAAGAAATTATCAAGGAAAACTGCCTTGATATTTTAGAACCAGAGGGCAAAATAGAAAGTAAAAGAATCTACCGATCTCCTCCTGAAAGAGATCCCCAAAGGAAAACTCCTAGGAATGTTGTAGCCAAATTCCAGAATTCCCAGGTCAAGGAGAAGATATTGCAAGCAGCCAGAAGGAAACAATTTAAGTATTGTGGAAACACAATCAGGATAACACAAGATTTAGCAGCTTCTACATTAAGGGTCTGGAGGGCATGGAGTATGATATTCCAGAGGGCAAAGGAATTAGGACTACAACCTAGAATCACCTACCCAGCAAAACTGGGTATAATCCTTCAGGATAAAATATATAATGAGTATAATCCTTCAGGGTAAAAAATGGTCATTCAATGAAATAGAGGACTTTCAAGCATTCCTGTGGAAAAGACCAGAGCTGAATAGAAAATTTGACCTTCAAATACAAGACTCAAGTGAAACATGGAAGAGGTAAACAGGAAAGAGAAATCATAAGAGACTTATTAAGGTTGAACTGTTTACATTCCTGCAGGGAAAGATGATATTTGTAACTCATGAGTCCTCTCTGTCAGTATTAAGGTAGTGGAAGGGAAAAATTATATGTTTGTATAGATAGATAGATAGATAGAGGACACAGAGTGAGTTGAAGATGAAGAGGTGATATCTGGAAAATAAAATTAAGGGGTGGGAGAAGATTATACTGAGAGAAGGAGAGGGGAGAAGTATAATGAGGTAAAATATCTCACATGAAACAGACAAGAAAAGGCTTTTACAGTGAAGGGGAAATGGGGGAAGATGAGAGGAAGTGAGTGAATCATTCTCATAGGATTTGGCTTAAGGAAGGAATAACACACAATGGGGTATGGAAATCTATCTTACTCTACAGGAAAATAAGGGGGGAAGAGAACAAGAGAGCAGGAGGTTGATAGAGGGAAGGGCAGATTGAGGGAGGAGATAATCAAAAGCAAACACTTCTGATGAGGGACAGGGTCAAAAGAGAGACTAGAAAAAATGGGGGGTAGGATAGGATGAAGGGAAATATACTTAGTTTTTCACAAGAGGACTACTATGGAAGAGTTTTGCATGACTACACATCTGTAACCTGTATCGAGATGCTTGCCTTTTCAATGAGGTTGGGTGGGGAGGGAGGAAGGGAGAAAATTTGTAACCCAAAGTTTTAAAAACACATGTTAAAAATAAAAAAATTTTTAAAAATGAGGTAGAAATTTGTATTAAGAAGAGAGAGAGAGAGAGAGAGAGAGAGAGAGAGAGAGAGAGAGAGAGAAACTAATTCAAAACAAAAGCAAACTAAACACAGCTACTGTGCCTTCCCTATGTGGTTCTGACCTGTCCATCTACCTTTTAAGAGCTAGCTGGTACAGTAGCTAGAATTCTGGGCCTAGAATCAGAAAGATCTGAGTTCAAATCCAACCTCAGACACTCACTAGCTAGTTGTGTGACCTTAGGCTAGTCACTTAACCTCTACTTGCCTCAGTTTCCTCATCTGTAAAATGAGGATAATAATAGCACTTACCTCAAAGGGTTGATGTGAAAAGCAATGAGATAATATTTGTAAAGCACTTAGCATGATGGCTGACACATAGGCACAATATAAATGCTTATTTAAAAAATACACGCACATATATAAGTACTTACATATGTGTGTGTATATGCACACACACACACACACACACACACACACACACATACACACACACACAAATGGATATATTACATTCTACCTGCACCAGCCAAAGAAGTAAAAAATAATGCAAAGAACTCTGTCAACATACAAAGTAAATAATCTGTTGTCTGGAATTGTATCAAGTACAAAGATAGTTGATATACATAATGATGATGTGGCAAGATCCTAAAGTGCCCCCTAGGACTGGCTATATCAAACTAAGATTAAATTATGGTCAGTACAGTTTTAATATTAAGTGTCTTTTACTGTATGTTAATATTATGAAATTAGCAATTTTACAGAAACATTATTAGCCAGAATATCTGAGTACTCTATTCCCTACCACAGTGCATAAAATAGAGGTTGCTGTATATATATACTACTGCATTTTGTCAGGTTTTACTAAGAAGTGTTATGAGAACAGACAGTCAGTCTCTTCAAAAGCAAGGGCTGATTACTGCTTGGACTACTTCAATCATAAAAAAAGTCTTCACTTCTGATTTTGAGAAATGACTGAAATACTTGATAATAATGGTGGCTAAAGTGGGCGTAGCTCCCCATAAACACATGATGCCAGAAGAATACACAACAGTACAGCTCTTATGCTACAATACTGCTGTTTTAACTGAACACCCCAAAGTAACTACATTGTTAATGGGGTGCTAGAAGCTTAGAACTGCCAGAGATCTTAAGACAACAAGATTGCAGAAAACACAGACTAACCTTCTCTCCATCTGTTTCACCTAAAAGGATTGATACAGCATCAACTCATATATATCTTATACATTTTTTAAAAAAAGGTTTGGCTTTTCTGGGAACGTCCTTACTCCTGTTAGGCCAAAGGAATACTAACGGTATAGAAACCCTTCACAATCTCACTTACAAGTGGTTTATGTCAGCTAAAGGTTGGACTTAATTATCAGGCTAATGACAGTGAGTCATGATCATAAAAGCCATCCAACCTCAGTCATGGAGTGTTTGCTTTTTCCTCTCATTAACTGTGACTTTTGAGATCATCATTATTTCCAGGTTCCTCTCTGTTGGAGCCTACCATGATGACAGATGCTATCATTCTAGAAAATGGAGTTAGTGACTTGGGTTGGAGTAAGACAGTGGTGGCACTGAGCAAAGAGAGCTAAAGTTTTCTTTTTCATAAAGATAACACTCCTAGGGAGTACAATCCTGCAAAAGCAAGAACCTCATTTTATCCAAATTGGGGAAAAAAACCTCCTGTAAAAACCTACTTCTAACTCTAGCTTCTTAATTTTAAAAATTAAGATCTTAATACCCCCAGGCTATGGTGTTGATGTTTGAGTCTCCAAGGACAAACACTAGAAAAAACAAAAGTTTCCTTAATGAACCTAATAGGACCTTATAAAAGCCAGAAATGATGACATCTAGATACAGAGAGGGGAAAAAAAAAAGAAAAGAAAAGAAGTCACCCAAACTCCACTTGAAAATCTCCATTGTGGAAGTACCTGTTAAATGGTAGACAAGATAAAGCAGTGTACTTGGGGAGTTAAGAAAAGAACCTGAGTTTGAATTCTTTCTCACATACTTGCTGCTTTGTGACCCTCGAAAAGTCACTTAACTTCTCTTACCCTCAGTTTCTTCAGCTGTAAAATGGGGGAATAATGTGTACCTCACCAAACTGTTGTGAGAATCAAATGAGATGATAGGAATTCTTAAACCTTAAAGTACTACACACATGTGCATGCATGCACATTCACACACACACACACACACACGGTGCAGTGAAGCTATAAAAGCTTAAAACTATACCAATACTTTTGGGATACCCTGTATTTTCATCACCACAGTAATCATATAATAATGTATATAATAATTAGAATTATTCTAAAGTAGAAAGGGCTACCTTTGGTTTGAATTCTGTATCACCAGGAATTCTTATTATTATATATTAATTATATAACTATTATAATTATTATTATTCTCAGTGACGAGACATTCATCACTTCCCAAGGAAGCCCCTTCTACTTTAGAGTAGTTCTGATTATTATGTAGTTTTCCCTTATAACCTTATTTCTATAATTCAGAAAAAGATACAATGTAGCAACCAGCAAACTTAAGGGTCTTATCTGAAATGAACAAAAAGTCAAAAGGCAGTGAGAGTTATAGCACAAACTTGGTCTCTTGAATTTTTATGCAACAATACCACACTGAACCACAACACAAAAAGAAAAAAGAAAAACACTGTAAATAATTCTTCTTTAATGACAACATAGCATACCAGCTTTGCAAGACACAAAACCAACACACAAGATCCTGTGGGTCTTGAAGCTGCAGTTAATTAAGCAAGTGCTATTCCTGGTGCTATGCTGCCATCTCTGAGGAGGTTGGTGTGCAAACAAGCAAGAGTTATGTTAATTTCAACACTAAAAAAAAAAAAATTCCCTGAGAGAAGATGGGGAGGAGAAGAAATGGAGAGTTAGAGATCATCTACCAAGTGGATTGTGGATTTAAAACAAATCAAAAGAACTTTTTAAATGTATACAGAAGTGGGTTTTGAAAACCAAGCAGAGGAACATGCAAATATTTGCAAAGTTAGTGGGGCTCTTACCTGGGCAGACAGTGATCTCTTCTGCAGAGCTTCCCCTGGCAATGACTGGGCTTCTCTTAGTGGTCAACAGGCTTAGAGCAGTGGGGCTGAAAAAGGACCAACAGTCAAATAAATTTCCAGTGAAATAAATCAGAGAGCAAGACCAAAGTAATACTAAATGACAAAATATTAGACATTTGTAATCCTACAGAAAACAATGGGAATGTGGAAAGTGAAGGTGGAAATACCAGGAAAAAAATGTGGAAAAAACAAACATGCTTGCAACTTCAGTCCCAGGGAAATCACGTGGAAGGAGCTCCTTCTAGAGAACTCACAAAGGAAGGTTGAAGGGTAAGCACTACCTGTGTCCATCAGAGAAGGCAAAAATCTCCACTCCAATCTAAAGATGTCAAAGGTTTGTTTTATATTGCCTATCTCAGGGAAGCCTGAACATTGCAGTGATTTGTACACTTGGAGCAAAGAACTTGGAGAGCCTCCTGACATTGCACTAGCTTCTTCCCACCTTGCTGTTAATTTTCTTTTTTATCTCAAGAGACTTCTTTCTAAAGCAGCAAAAAATAAGCTACAACTCTTCAAGCTGCCCTGCAACAAAAATCTGCCCACCCAAGTTGAGCATCTATTTTGTGCAGAGCTTAACTATGCATAGCTTCTCCCTATCTGACCTTCTGGTTCTCCCTGCCTGTTCATGGAATGCGATCTCTTCCTGACAGAAACGTGGTTTAGCAATGCGGGCATTCAGAGCTGGCCCCCTCCCGCTTCACTGAGCTTTACAATTAGTTTGATCAAGCATGCAGGAAAAGACTTTTAAAAAAATACACAATTCCCCATGTCAACCGAGAACCACAGAGAAGAAAGAACAGCCACCATTGATTCATGATAAATAACTAAATCCTGATAGGAAACCACAAGTGATTTCTCTCTCTAAATAAAACATCTCAAAGCATTTGTTAGAAACCCAAGCCAGGCACAGTTTACTCTGCGTGTAACATCAGCGCTCTATTCAAAGGGTCCATCACAAAACAATTTGCTGACATTTATAAAATGGGCTAATCAATTTGAAGTCAAACCGCATTGCCTGCTACTCCAACTATCTCCTGGTGATAAAGCGTATAATCATTTATTAAAACCTACATCTGCTCTGCACAGAGCTCACCACAACAAAGCAAAGAGGCCCGCAGGAAGCAGAAAGCCTTCTCCAGTTAAAACCACTTCCAAAACTATTTGAATAGTCTGAGAATTCAACCAAAGCCATATTTTCCAGCACTGAAAGAAATTCTTCTAGACTGTACTACCCCTCTGCTCCACCTAGTCAATCCCACCTAGGGCTGAAGACCTGGCTCAAATTTCAAAGAGTGTTCCTTGACTCCTTCAACTCTTTTTGATCTCTCCCTGGCCAGAGCACCTATGTGGACTCATCATCACCATAATTTGAACTGGGCCTTGGGTAGGATTTGGCTAGATGGAGAAAGGAAACTGTGAGCAAAGATAGAGGGAAGCAAGAATGGATCTGGCAGGTAGTAGGAATAACACTATCAACTTGTGAAAAGCCCAGACTACACGTAAGTTATAACCACTGGAATGTGCGACAGCTAGGCCTCATCTTCAAAACAGGGAATACCAACCACTCAACCCAAAAAAGCAATTCTTAAAATCCTCACAGCTCAGAGCAGTGTCCTGTCAGAGGCATGGCTGGACATCACAATCAGTCAGTAACCAGATTCATCACATTGTTATAAAGAATCACAATGACTATTCCAAACCAAAATTTATGGGAGACACCTGGGGAAAAGACAATCTCTATCTCTAAGGAGTTTACAATTTAATCAGGAAGACATGAATAGAAAATAAAGGGAAAAAAATACAAGACTATATATAGTTGTGTGTACAATGGAGATTATCAGTAGATACTCACAAAATAAGAGATTGTAACTAGAAGGTGGAAGAATCAAGGAAAGCTTCATAGGGGGCTAAGAAGCTAAAACTGGACATTGAAGGAGGACTGGTACTTAGCCAGGTGGGGAAAACACAAACACAGAAGGAAAGAAGAATTAACATAATATAAAATTAACATACAGGCACATGGAGGAGGGCTGAGGGGTAAAAACCAAGAAAGACCACCAAATTGGAGCTGACGTTCCTGTAAACATAATAAACAAGCCTTTTTAAAGACTATGCCAAGTGCTGTTTAAACAAGATAGACCCCATCCTCAAGAAGCTTAGAGTCTAAGAAGGAAAAGATATCAAGATAGATAGTAATAAACAATATCACTAAGTGCATTAGAAAAATTCACAGGAAAGTGCTGTTCAAAGTCCAAAGCAGAAGATCATAATGAACTGGGGAGAAAATCAGGGCAGTCTTCCTAGAGGAAGTGACAATCCAGTGTTTTGGAAAGGCAGAGAGTACAATATGTGTGGAAGGGAGTAATATGAAATAATAGCTAGAAAGGGTGATAAACTTCCAAAAGAAAAGGTTATCTGAACAAGAGGCAAACTGCCCAGCTCCCACACACGTGTACCATTAAAATACTAAAGTTCACATCAGAATAAATAATAAAGAAAAACAATGAGAAAACACAGCAAATTATTTCTTCTATCCCAGAACTACATACTAAGTGGACCAGAAGCTTGAATGCTATAAAAAAGGGGGCCAGCCAATAACACAAGCACCAACCCAGAGTAGGCACATTTGCAGCATCCAACATACTGTGTCCAGAGGCAGAGAAAGTGGTAGGCTTTGTATGGCTATTTATTTGTGATAGACTCTGTTTTTCTTCCCTTCTCAGTACATAGGGGAGAGGGAGGGAGAGAATAAGGAACTGAAAATAAAATGAAACTGGGAGAAATAAAAGGACCACCACACTGAAAAGTCCAGCAGCAAGTAGAAACCAGGCCTAGGCACGAAGCCCCAATTCAGGAACTAAAGTTGCAGAGATGAGTAAATCAAAGATAACACTGACCAGTAACAAAAATTATTGCAAATCGAGAGATAACCAAAAAGACTCAAAGGAAAAAATGGATTTTCCACTAGGACTACATGAATACACAGAAGAAATGAGCAGAAAACATAAAAAATGGAATAAAATAAAAGCTCCTATAGAAAGAATTTGAAGGAGAATATGTAGCTTGCTTGGAATAGAAAGTGCTCTTACCCAAGAATTGGATCCCTTAAAATCCAGAACAGACCAATGAGAAACTACATTCAATATCAAGAAATATTAAAACAAAATCAAAAGAATGAAAAAAAAAGAAAAAAGATAACTGAGATTAAAAAAAATTGAGAAGACAAGTCAAGGAGAAATTATTTTAAGAATCAATGTTCTATCTGAAATCCATAATTAAAAAAAGACACTATATTTCAAGAAATCATACATGAAAACTGCTCAGACCCCTGAGAAGCAGAGGGCTAAGTAAAAATAGAAAACAATGTACTAATCATCCCCTGAAAGAAATTCCAAAAGAAAAAGTCCCCAAAATGTCATAAAACAAAATCCTAAGCTTCTATGTCAAAGAAAAATACTGCAAAAATCTAGAAAGAAGCACTTCAAGTACTAAGGTACCACAGTCAAGCTCACACAAAACCTAACAGCTTTTACGATAAACAAGAGGAGATTTTTGGAATAAAATATTCAAAAAGGTAAAGGACAGACTTACAAACAAAAATAATTTACCCTGCAAAGCTAAGTATCATCTTATGGGGGGGAGGGGGAAGAAGAGAGGAAATGAACTTTTAATGGAAGACTTTCAAGCATTTTTGATGAGAATGCCAGAGCTAAGATGTAGTGAAGACATAGTGCTAACATTCTAAAAGAGGGAGGAGAAACAACTGTCCCTTCCAAACCTCAATTTCTTCAAAAAGTAGTGAAGTAATGAACTACATAATAAAAACAGAGGTTCTAGAGGTGGTTGGTTATGAAGCCGAGAATGAGAAGGGAAAGTAAAAAAGAATACATTAGTGAAGAAAGGATGAAGAAGGGGGTAGAACTTGCTATTTCTACTAGAGGTTTGTGAGGAGAAGAAGAATACACAAATATGGAGGAAGAAGTTTTGGGGGGTAGGGTAAGCATCACACGAGACTATCTGAAATGGACAATGGAAGATTAAGAACAAACATATATTTTGGTGTAGAAAACAAAAACAAACAAACAAAAAAAAACTCAATAGCACAGATAGGGAGGGGGAAAGGTTTAAAGAACTCCTTAATAACACTAGCAAGGAATGTAATTCAGTCATGTCCAACTCTTCATGACCCCATGGACCATAGCACACCAGACCCTTTGATCCTCAACTATCTCTTAAAGTCTGTCCAAGTTGATGTTCATTGTTTCCATAATACCATCTATCCACCTCATCCTAAGCTGTCCTCTTTCCCTTTTGCCTTCAATCTTTCCCAACATCAGGGTCTTTTCCAGTAAGTCCCATCTTCTCATTACATGGTCAAAGTATATAAACTTCAGTTTCAGCATTTGACCTTCCAGTGAATAGCCTAAATTAATTTAAGTATTGACTGATTTACTCTCTTTGATGTTCAAGAGACTCTCAAAAGGCTTCTCCAGCACCACAATTCGAAAACATCAATTGTGCAATGTTCAGCTTTCCATAAAGTCCAATCCTCACAGTTACTGGAAAACCCATGGCTTTGACTCTTTGGACTTCTGTCAGCAAAGTGATGTCTCTGCTTTTTGCTATTCTGTCCAGATTTGCCATAGTGTGCCTTCCAAAGAACAAGAATCTTTTAATTTCATGGCTGCAATCACCATTTGCAGTGATCTTTGAGCCTAAGAACATAAAATCTGACACAGCTTCCATTTTTTCTCTCTCTATTTTCTAGGAAGTGATGGGACCAGGGTGCCAAGATCTTAGTTTTTTTGTTGTTAAGTTTCAAACCAGCTTTTACACTCTCCTCTTTCACCCTCATCAAGAGGCTTCTTAATTCCTCTTCACTTTCTGCCATTAGAAGGCAAGGAACAGCTCTAAGCAAAACAAGCTTCCCAGGAAGTAAAGGGGTAACAATGGAATTAAAAGAAAATCTAAAGAAATGGCACAGTGGATAGAGTGCCAGGCCTGAAGTCAGAAAGATTTATCTTCC